AATATGGCACACTCACTTTAGATCACAAACAAAATCCTCATAAGCCAACAATTCTTTTATGTGCAATATTTGCAATATCCATAAATGTAATGAAATGAAAATAATTTAACTACCAGCTCAAATCAATTACATTTCCTACTTGCTATATATACTGTATATATACATATGTGTGTTTTGCCTTACAGGATGTCCTCAGATGAAAACTGCTGCTTGACCTCTGATTCCACAGCAAGAAAACAAGAGGAAGTAAAATCAACACTGACTAATAAATGTAAGTTCATATGAATTATTTTAGTTTTAAATGCATCTTTAGAAAACCTTGACATCTTTACAACAATAGAGGTTGGGCTACGACAAAAAAATTAACAATTCTGTTTTTAAAAAAAACAAAGTCACATTTGTTTTACTGCACTGTCTGTAGAGGTCAACCTTCAAGGATAAAAAAAAAAAAAATACATGGTAATACCAGCTATAACATTTACCTGCACGGCTGCCGCCAAACCATCTGTATTCTCTCCTCCCGGTGAGAGCAACAGTTCTAAAAGCTGTTTATATCCACAGGACAAGTCCTGTACGAACTGTCACATTCATCTCTATTTCCCCTTCACCGAGGGGCATTTGAACCACATTAGAATCTATTACCACCATGCAGATTCAGCGCCTGCTGACAATACAAGTCATGATAAGATGGAGCAGCGACACCATTGCTTATATATCACATCATATAAGCTGGGCTGCAGATCCCAGCTTGTCATCCCATTGTGATCATCTGTTTATATGGCTGGTCCAGAGGTGTGGGTATCGTTACATCTTTGTCTATCTTTAACCTGTGTCTGTTACTGTCCCATTCAGACAATAGATATAAATAGTTGCATGCGTGCAACAGTGTGAGCGTATACGGGTTTATATCTGTGAGAGCATCCATCACTCGGCAGTGGGAGTTCCAACACAGCTGCTTGTGAGGAGAGATTTATGCTGTAATGCATCAAATCAACAGACCTTTACAGTAAAATATGATTTTATCAATAGGCCTGATCAATAGTGCATGCAAGACGCTGTGTAATTATTATAGAGGTCCGGATCGATGGAATTGTCGCACATGACCTGCTGCCAGAGGCTACGTGGACGGGCGTCACAGACAGTCATAGAAATGTTTGTGTCACGGCCCTAAGATGTTTGATTACCTGTACAGAAGGTCATACCTTTGCTGCACTGTAACTTATCATGACATCCTTGACCGAAACAGGATGCAGGCGGGGAAAGTTGGACCAGACCATAGCAACGGCTTTAGAGCAACGAACTCCAGTTCCAGAAAAGTTAGTACACTTTCCAAAAATGCAATTTGAAGCAAATTCACCTGTCAAAAAATATTAGAAACACAGAATGATTGTTATTTTAATACGAGAAGTGAAGAATAAATTAAATGTGTCACAAAAAAAATTAAATGAAAAATGAAATGAAAACACAAAGTTGTGTTTAAACAAGCCAATCTGAGAGTTGTTAGTCTGTATTTAAAAAAAAGGAACCAAATGAAACATAAAGGGTTGCACAAGTAACATACTGAGATACTGTCACAGAAATGATTACAGAATTGACCATAAGAGAATCCAGCCAATTAATTAATTAAAGACAAATAAATGTGTCAAAATAATACAAGTAAATGAATCATTCTCAGTTTTCTAACTCCTGGCATGACTGTTGCAATGTGTGTGACAACACCAAAAGAGCAACATAACAGCAGTTCTTATTAGTGCACCACTTCAAGCCTACCTTAATGCAAAAATTTCTGCTGCAACGTCAGAGCTAATGTTAGCTACGTCAGTCCTCGAACAGGCTAATGGTGTAGCTGGCCCACAATAGCCCAGATGACTATTGAGAAGGCTCAAATAATAATAATAATAATAATTAAATCATAAAATATAACATCTGTGACTGTGTCCAAACTGTGAATAAAGTTGACAGAAGAAAATTGCTAAATAAAAAAGGAAATAAATATAGATGAAAAATTAAAACAAATCTGTTGAAGTTTATGGGTGTCTATTCACTGATTTTGTTTTTCAAAAAGTTACTTAAATCTTTGAAAGGAATTGCAATATTTTAATTAAAGAGCAGTAATAAGGGAATTAAAAAAAAAATCCCACAGTTAAATTTCACGGTATACATTTTGAAAAAGTGAACCAATATTTTGACTGTGTAGTTAGTAGTTTTATGTGGTGAATGTTCCTGCACCTCTGCAAACATTAGACCTTATAAATGACAGAGATGCAGACAACCATCTTTACTAGGATCATTTGTCCTGGTGCAAAGCAATCTGGGGTGAAGAAATACAGTGAATAAGAGCCTGGTGTTAGTCTGTATAGGAGCGCTCTGTAATCACACACACATAGTCTCACACACACTGTACATCAGAGAGTGTGTGTGAGAGAGAGAGAAAGAGAGAGGGGGGAAGAGGGAGGGAGAGCGTGAGGCAGAGACCAATGAGGCAGTTTACATCAGGATTTTGTTTCACAGCCACGGCCTCCTGGGAGAGTGGGGTCTGCCAATAACACTTAAGAGACAGAGCAGGAAAAGTAAGTGCTTTTATTACATCTCATCACTCATGTAATTTCTGGCAGCATTTGTGATTACAGATCAAGTGATTGACTAACTACACATTCAACGGCTGAGTTATGAACCGGGTGCCTACCATTCCAGCCCCGGCAGATTCTCCGTGTCAGCTGTAACTCATCTATTCCCTGCGTGTTAAATCAGAGAGCACACACTGCTGCCGGAAGAGTTAAATAATAACTTGAGCTTTATTGTAAATCTGTCAGAAATTACACCTGCACAGACACTGCCCCGGCTCTGGTGTTGTCCTGTGCACGGTGGGGCGAGAAGGCTGGATGGAGTGGATCAATACAGGCCCTGATGGAGATATTGACGGATGACAGATGAAGTTGGTGTCTATGCCTGCGTGTGTTTGTTATGAGGGTATATAAGTGTAAAGGAGTAGGTGTCACCCTGGGGCTAGGTGGAGAGCAAGGCTCAAGGTATTTAATCGACAGGCTTCACCTTGAATCGATCTGCGAGAGTCTCACAGGGCGTAGACGTGATACACCATGAACAATAACACCGAAAACAAACCGCAGGGAGTTTAGGAGTTGATGAAGTGGGATGGGCTGATGTCTCAATGCCATCACTACTGCATACATACCTGTGTGTAATCAGAGTGGGATTGAGTTTTTATACCAGACTTTGGAGACTTTAACAGGGATTAAGGGAATTTAGAGGTTGGTAAAAATGAGTTTCTTCTTCGTTCTGTGTGANNATATATATATATATATATATTCAAAACATTAAAACAAGATGTGTGCTATTTGTATAAAATCCTGACTTGAAGAAATTGCCATGTGTTTGTGGTCGACGCTGTGGCAAAGAAGCAGCCTGTACAGGCTACAAGGCTAATAACGAAGGTCTCCTCTGTGACACATGAAAAGAAAACAGAGCGAGGGAAAGAACTTGCAGCAATGATCCCATTTACTGAGAGAAACCTCATCATAAAGTATTATCTCTGCAACAAATCAATTTCCTCACACTCCAAAGAGCAATAGTAGCATGCACATGTGAGACATGCAGCAGAGATGGGCAGCCATGAAAACATTCCACCGTGAAATGTCTTACAAGAGGCCAAGATCTAAGAGAGCGTCATGTCTTTAATAAACAACACACTGTAAGTATTAAAATCAATGTGGCTCAGCGGTGGTGTGCAGGCTCAAGATCTGCTGAAATGTTCAAAGACTCTGCAGCTTTTACCTCATGACCGAGTCAAGGTCCAAGAATGTTATTGACTGAGATGGAGTTTATGACATTAATATTTGACAAATCACAGTTTTGGAATAAACTGGTGCACTTTAATACTAACGAGGAGTCAGCTAAAGAAGAAGAAGACAAAGAAGAAGGAAAAAATCTCTGGCAGCGTAGACATTGCTGCCTCCCTGTCTACCTGGAGCCCACAATTTGATGTCCAGGAAAGAATGATAAAAAAAAGTAGTCTTATTGCAAAGCCAGTCAGAGTTGTACATTATCAAGGGGACAGTATAAGAAATATATTTAGCTTTCAAGTCATTCACATGACCCGGAACGAAATATTAAATACACATTTCCAGGATTAAAAGATGACATAAATATTCTACTTCCATTGCCGGACAGAACTGGGTCTGGGAGATTTTTAAAGATTATTCCGAGTTGTGCCAAGGGGAGAAATGGTGCTTCTGTACATAGAACAGTACATGAAGGCTTCAGAGGAGGAATGAGATGGAGGAAGAGAGCTTTCAACGGCTGATTCCAGGTGGAAAGATCTGGACGAATGGATTTGTTGCACAGAGGTCGGATGAGGAGAGGAACAGTAAATCGGAGACTCAAGGACAACTTGTGGTCTTGTTCTTGAACGGTGACAGGAGGCTACTCTGTGTGCCAGAGGACTTGCAGATCTCCCAGGAGGTCTGGGCTCCATCCTGAACTTGGGACACTGCAGAATGTTGCTATCACTTCCAGATTTTTGGACCAACTTGGTCAAATACGTGGATATCTCCTAAAAAGACAAACACATGCAACACAAGAAAAAAAGAAAAAAGAAAACATTTTAAACTTTCTATCTGCTTTTGGGTTGATAGTTAAATTATTTAATGCTACAGAGTAATAAAAGTAGGCTATGTTTTAGTCTTTAACTGCAGCTAAAGTAATTTAAGTGCCTCTCGGAGTTCAAGCCACTTAACTGTAGCACTCTCAGACACTCATATAACAAATAAAAGGTTGAGGGCCAGCAGCTCTGAGATGCTGCCAACTCATTGTGATAAAAGCAAAAATCATGTTTGGCTAACACTAGCCAAGGCAAAAGGAGTGGAGTAATAGAAATAAAATGTGATGTGTGCAAACCTGGATGTTCGCTATGACTCACAACAGTGACAAAGTAGATTACATTAATTTAATAAGAACTAAAACACTCACACTCTGAGCTCCGGCTAAAACTCTGCTCCGGCTTTCCTGTCTCGTCAGTAACCGTGGCAGTGTGCCGTCGATTGACCTGCGCTGCTCAGCAGCTGACCTGGGTAAGGGATGCAGAGTGGTGAAGGCCGTGTTTATGCTTGGTCTTCCTTTCTGTGGTTCTTTCCTACACTCTAGTTGCCCTTCTGCCCTGCGATCCTCCCCCTTATCCCTCTGTTTGCATGTGATTGATGAGTGGTCATTTCCTCTCCTGTCCTTTCCCATTTCAGACCTGGAAAAGGCAGCAGCTGAATCCTCCTGCAACGCTCCATTTCCCTCCGTATTGTTTGGTCTAACTTTACTTTCTTCTCCTTCATCTCCCTCAGCGCCGTCAGATTCTCCGCCCTGCTGCTTCTTCATGAAGTTGTCTGGTTTCCCCCCAGTCTGACTACTGTGCTTGAAGTCCTGATAGAGACAAAGTGATGATAACCAATAATAATGTAATAAATACTGTAGTTAATTAGACATTACACATTACTTTTTATTGATTTGACTTTAAAATTGGTTATTTTACTTTTATATAACACAGCACTAGGATACTTTCTGCAGAAAGTTTGGTCATGATTTTGATTCCATTGCAATTTTGAAACTATAAATATTAATTTTGACCAGTTTACTTGCAGTATTATTCTTGCAGTTTTACGTGCATGTCAACATAAACAGACTCACTGTGGGCCATGATGTTTTTGTCAGGTCTGTGTGTTTTCTGTTCCTGCTGTCTGCTGTGAGGGGTAATCTGTGTCATCACACTCACCTGTGTCTCTGTAATTAGTCTCACTCTTCCCCTGGTGCCCTTTGTATATATACCTCTCTCCCTCACTCTGTCCTTGTGGGATCATTGTGTTGTAGCTGGTCAATGGTGTGTCTGTTTCTAGGCTGTTCCTGGTCAAGTCTGTTCCTGTGCTGAGTGTTTTGTCCTGATCTTTGAAGAAGCAGGTTTTTGTGAATTTTTTTTTTTTTTTCATATATAAACTACCGGCCCCAGTACTGCATTTGGGTCCTGTTTGTGTCCTGCCATGTTAATGGCTCACTGTGACAGTTTCAGTAAGTAAACAACCAAAATTACTGGTGGGTTAACCATGTTGTGATGTGATGTTGTCTTTCATTTAAATTGAGAAAAGAAAAATTAAGTGAAACAGAAACTGTTACTTCAAAGTGCATTTTAATACAATTATACAATAACTTGACAACTTTCCAGTAGAACCAACAGTTTACTGTCTTACATAGGTAAAGTCAATATGTGAAGGAGTCATGAGGATGAGAGACTCTTATAGGTAAAGCTACTTTCACCAATACACAGTATAATTCTAATTGGCCTTATTAGTGAGCTTAGAGCTAATACATGCTCTGTATGTTGCCTTAGGCTTTGTGTGTGTGTGTGTGTGTGTGCACGTTTGTGTGTGTGCAACTTTGTTTGATGTTTACGACCTACCAGACTTCTTCATAATGAACGTTTCCTACAGTACTCAGCGGATATAAAATAAATGAATGAACTCTACCACAGCCATAAAAACCAGATCCTTCCACAGCCCGGTGTGTTTGCAGAACAGACTGAACTTCGAGGCAGAAGCAGCATCTACAGGTTCAAGTCCCACAGAGCAGCAGCAGCACTGCAGCAGCAGATGTAATGAAACATATTTAAGGCAAGAGGAAAGCTGCATAGAACTGCACTGCCACGTTTGACCCCATTTAAAAACTTGATACCAATTAGAGAGTCCTGGGAGTAAATTATTTAGGGGATCTCTTTTGCTGAACACACACACACACACAAAAAAAAAATCATTATGTCCATGCACGTGCATCCACACAGTCTCAGACATGAAGCTGTCCAATGTGCACCCGCACTGCTGTACACACACATCGTTACACACAGATTCCACCACCGTGCTCTGGAAACAGACTTCTTAATGAAGCCTTCCCCAAGTGAAAGTGGAGCAGAAATATACACTGGCCCATTTCTGCCTTCAGTTCATCCTCCCCTCCTAACACACACACACACACACACACTTTTCCTCTCTTTTCTGTCTCTCCCCTCCCTGTACCTTCTCTACATCATTTGTTTTATTCATGTTTCGTTGTCTTCTCTTTTGTCTCAATCAGTTAAATCACAACCCCCTAATTTATGGCTACAGGCAAAGACACTTCCACTAACAAACCAACTGATGAGAGGGGATGACTGCAAACATACAGCGTGCAAAGAGTGGTTTGTGTGTGAGTGTGTGTGTGTGTGTGTGTGAATCTTGAAGTGTCTCTTACTGTCTTTTTATTTGTGGTTATTTACATAAAGGATGAAAATGTGGGTATAGGAATGACTGTGATGCAAAAAAAAAAAAAAAAAAGCTTCTGCATCGGAGGAGAGGGAGCAGGGGAGTAAATCCAGTGACACAGTGTGGGGAGTTCTCAGGTGTGGTGAGAGGATTATACAAAAACCCTGAGTATGAATGACAGTAAACAGCTGAATGACAGAGATGGGGAGTGGCGGGAGCTTTGCTGTGTGTGTATGTATGTGTGTGAGTGTGTGGCTCGGGGTAACAATTCAGTAGGCGTGACTGATACTCTGAAAGGTGAGTGAATATTATCTTCACCTCAGACTTTGAGAGCTGTGCTGTTAACTCAAGAAAAACCTGTTCAATCGTATCTCATTATTGCTCGCGTAGAGATGGGAAAAAAAATGTGGGAAATGAAGGAGTGTGGGTTGTGTGGAAGTAAACAACAGATGCTATAGGTTTGAGAATATCAACAAGGCAGGCAGGAAGTATGGAGAAGGAAAATATCAATCACTGCCCTTCCTTTAGCAATTAGGATGCAAAAGTTGAGTCATGATAAAAAAATATATCTTTGTTTATAAGACTGAGCCACTGGAGGATGTGCCTTTTTTACCCTGCTGAATAAGGGTCAGGTCACAGTTTTTTTACTGTTTTATTCCAAACTTTGGGGATCTGTTACATTTTTAGGAAGTCCTGAAACATTTCTGAAAAGTGTATTTGTACAGTTTTTGAGTGGGTTGATAAGAAAGGGAGAGTTTGTCTTAATTGCAATTTGTTGCCTGTCCTTACCTTCTCCACTGCTAGTGGATTGTGGACAAGGTCTCTGAAGCAAACTCCGCGATCTCTATGATCAGATTCTTCTGGTTTTTTCTCTCTGCTCCCTGAAACACACCCACACACAGACACACACTCCTAAACCTTTCTCATCAACAATTGAAAACATGTTTTTTTCTAATCTAATTTGCCTGTAGTTACTCTATTTCACAATGTTTAGGCAAGCATTTGTTCGTTTTAACACACTGTAATTCAAAGAGCTTGGATTTCCATTGCTGTGCAAGTGAACAAGTTCGGGGCAGGTCAAACCTTGCATCATCAAACAACCGCCCTGCAGATTTGTGTTAACCTGCATTGTATACATCGGATGAAAAGCTGCTTTTCTTGAACGTGTTGAAGAACACTAACACATTTGCCTTATGGTCTTGTGGAATACTCAAATATGTCTTTAACCTTTGGCTCAGGGTTCAATTTAGACGAGAGCAATATGCGTCAATTCCTAGATCTGTGCTTATTGAAATCCCTCACCTCCAGAGCGCTATCAGTGTACAGTGCTGACTCTACATGAAGTGTGACCCCGTTTCCCTCACGGCGACCCCCTCCTTCCCTTCACAGCCTTGGAAGATAGAGGAGCACAGGGAAAGGCATGCCAAGGCAGTAGACACTTTAAAGCAAAGATTAAAGGTTTTTCTTTTTAATCAGTCATTTGGCAGCAATGTTAGCATCTCACCCTGGTGCAGCTAAGGATCAATTTTTAATGCTGCTATGCAGAGTGCAGACAGGGTGATTGGCAAGAGAGAAGCTATTTACAAAGGATCTATTTACACATTTTTACATAGAAATATGCAGAGGGCATATCTGACATCTCTTACAGAATTTTAAATAAGCATTCTCCTTTTTTTCCTTTTCTCATGAGGCACGACCTCTGTGAGCCTCCGATGATCACTTCACTGTGAGTGTGCACGGCCATATGAGTGTTTGTGTGCGTATTCTTACATGCCTCGCACGTAAGAATAATAAAAGAATTTCTATCTCTCCCTTGTGTTGCATTGTGTTACACTTTTTGCATGTTTGCTGCCAAATGCTGGGTAACTAGGTCAAAGAACCCCAGTGTACACAAATCACAAAAATCCAGCAAAAACAAACTAATCACAATGGCTGTTTTTTGTCCTTTAACATTCAATAACATTGATCTGATTCTGTTCCATGACATAATGAATGTCATTGGTTGTACAACTTTTTGACCAATGTGAACTTGACTAGCTCAATTTGTTTGTCATGTCCAAGATTTAAAAAGCAGCCTCAGCTTTTGATGTAGCTAACAGTGTGACTGTCCTTTACTTCTTCAGACCTTCTTTTTTTTCCAAGGTTCTGATTTAAAGATGGTTCTTTACATATGTGGGCTGGACACAGCCTGTTCAATCTATGGCCTCAACAAGACATTTGGCCAAAGAAACCCACAGAGAATAACTGGACATTTTCCTTATAATTCCCTAGAAGCTCTTGAGAAGATTCAGAAATACTCCATCAGCAATTCAGGTTCCAAAAAACTGAAAAGCTCTACGTGTGTGTTTGGACCATGTGCAAGACCATCCATCCATCCATCCAGTTTCATCCGTTTATCCGTTACCGGGTCGTGGGGGCAGCAGTCGCCACCCAAATCACATTGCACCGTACCAACCCCCCCTAAACCTTCCTGTAGGTGGTGAGTCCACTGGAAGGAACCAACCGCACTAACCAGGATTCAAACTTGTCCAGGAGGTGAACCCTGGGGTTCCACACCAATGACAGAGACATTGCCACTGGGCCAAATCACCACCCATGTGAGAGACATTAATTACTTTTTTCACATATTCATGCATCATTTTGCAAGTGTTGCTAAATTTGCTAAAATAATCGAATCTGGGTTTTTATGCTTCGGGTGGGAACATTTCTCCCTCAGACCAGTCCTACAAAACTGCATTCCTATGGTCATAATGTTTGTGCAGGTGGTAAACCTTAAGGTGCAAAAGGAACAATGTAGTCTAATAAAATCCTGACACTAACACAAGCTCTGGTGTTTACCGATGTGACCCTGCTGTCCTGCTGTTATGTTCCCGTCTTCATATCCATCCATGAATCAATCCATACATCTATGCCTCCATCGATTACTCTACTGTCCATTCATCCATTATCTAGCCCCCCATTCATTCATGTCGTCAGCCAGCCATCCAGCTGACCAACCAACTGAACATTGATCCAGTGATTCACCCAGCACTAGCTGGATCAATAGTCTCTTAAATGGCATCATTGTAAGCGCTTAGGCATCTGTGTTTGTGCAGTTCATTCTCAAGGCAGTGAGGCCACGCAGGGTTCTAACCTAAGTCAACTTTATTTTTTTCTATGCTTACAGGATCACATCAAAATACAATCAAAGGTCGGCAGAAAATGTGTCCGGCAGCTGACGTTCTGTACACAAACAACAAAAGGTGCAGTGGTCTGTGAAAAACCAGCTGTAATTACTGACGATCAGATGCTTCACATGAAGATCTCACAGGATTGTGGAGGTTTACAGAGATACACAGACAACATTGATGCACAGGAGCAGGAAGATAAAGATTCATGGATGGAAGAAACTGTGTGTGAAGCTGCAGTTCAATATATTGTGGAGCAAACTAAAGGTAAACCCAAACTTTCTACAAAAGGCACAGATTTTCATGTTAAAGAAGTTCAATAATGCGTTACTCTGTATGTTCTATTGAAATAATTACAGCAGAGAACTGTGGGTATTTATTAACAGTATTTTATAAACAACATTGACCTGGAGCAGCAGTAGTACTCAGTGCACTCGTGTTCACTATCTCACTGTGCAGTCTATTGTGGCTCAGTGTGCATACAGAAACCCTGCTGGCTCAGAGCTGGGGCTGGGTCTTGGCATTAAAAGACTGGGACTCTGACAAGTCTCCGAGTTCTGTCACTGCGGTTCACAGGTCTTGTTAGCCAAGGTGTCGGCAGGGGTGGAAATGACTGTGTGTGTATGAAAGTGTCAGTGTGTGTGAGTGTGTGTGTGTGTTAGTGTGTGTGCAGTTGCATGTG